GGAGGGGCGGCCCCGGGGGGGCGGGACCCCGCCCGCTCCGCTTGCCCCCCCGTATCTCTTGTTTTATCCCTTTTTTCTTCTTTTTGTTGTTGGGCTTTTTTGTGGTTTTTGCGGGGGTTGGGTTTTTTGTGGGTTTTTTTTTTTGGGTTTTTTAATATCTCGGCCTCTGGGGCTCCCCCGGCGCTCCGTCACTTCCTCCCTCGAGGCGCTTCCGGGCACGTGGTGCTTCCCTGGGCGCCGCTTGCCCGTTGCCCTGGTGACGGCAGCGGGAGCCTGGCGGGACGCGCTCCGGCGGCGGCGGGAACGGCGGCAGCAGCGCCCGGCCCTTCCTCGGCCGCGGCTCCTTGCTGGGCCTGCGGGGCCGGGCACCGAGCCAGCACCGTGCTGATGGGGATCACAGCCCGGTTGGTCGGCGGGCGCAGAGCGCTCTTCGCCAGCCTGAGCGGGTGTCCCCTGTGCCAGGGGTCGCTATCCGCCCGTCCTTCTGGAGATTGATTAACCGTGTTAAACGTTAGTCGGTTTATGTATCACAGAATCGATTCGGTTGGAAAAGACCTCCAAGATCAGCGAGTCCGACCTGTGACCGATYACCACCATGTCAACAGACTGTGGCACTGAGTGCCRCATCCAGTCTTTCCTTAAACACCTCCAGGGATGGTGACTCCAGCACCTCCCTGGACAGYCCATTCCAATGAGTAATCACCCTTTCTGTGAAGAAATTCCTCCTGTTGTCCAGCCTAAACCTCCCCTCGTGCAGCTAAAGACTATGCCCTCTCGTCCTGTTGCTAGTTGCCTGGGAGAAGAAYGTAGGTTGTAAACTGTTTGTGTTGGTACCTGGAACAAGCGTTGATGAACAAACAGGACACAGCAGGAGGTTTTCTGCTTTCGTCGTGTAGGGCACACGTAGAGGTGCAGTGGAAACTGCATGAACAGGGTAAAGAAACCACAGTGTCAGAGCTCGCTGGCAACTTTTAGAAGAGAAGCTGCGCTGTGTAGGCACTCGGACCTTGCTTTTCTTGATTACTCTCAAAGAGCATCAGTCTTTGTTGCCTGTCAGTTGCCTGGCTTCGGGGAAGAACGGTTGATTACTGTAAATTTACGAATTTTTAACTGTAATGTCATCTTTAGATGTTAACTGGAGGGGAACTRTGTATGCATGTAGTGACAGGACAAGGGGCTATGGCTCCAAAATGAAAAGAAAACTGTTTTAGATTAGCTATTAGGAAGAAATTCTTTACTGTGAGGGTGGTGAGGCACTGGCACAGGTTGCCCAGAGAAGCTGTGGRTGCCTCASCCCTGGAAGTGTTCARGTCCAGGTTGGATGGGGCTGTGATCAACCTRKTCTARTGGAAGGTGCCCCTGTCCACMRCAGTGGGTTTGGAACTGGATGATCTTTCATGTCCCTTCCAACCCAAAGCACTCTAGGGTTTTATGATCAACATATTTGTTTCTAAGAAWATAAGAAATGTCCATCGGGTGAGACCAGTGGCTCATCTTGATGAGAGCTGTTGAGTTTCTTTTCAGAATGCCATCACGTGCATCTAGGACAATCAGGATGACACAAAAGACAAACAGGAATGAGTCACCTCCATCTACATGTACGAGGTGCAGAAGCTCAAGCACCACTGAGGCTCTGAGCAGCATAAATACTGCTGCAAATGACAGGTTTGAGCTTCATGGTGCAAAAACATTGCATCTAGCTCCGTCATGACGATGCTGGGCCATCAGGTCACAGGAGAAAATTCCCATTATCAATTGCAGTCAATTCCCATTGACTTAAAATCACAGAATAATATTTGCTGCTGCATGAAAAGCAGCAAAACACACCGTACAGGAGGGCAGTTGGGCTGTTACCAAGCATACTTGCTCTAAATGCTGAGGATTCTTTTTCAATTCAGATGGAAARCTGTCTGGCTGATTTTCAAGAAGATAGTTAAGGTTATTCAAAATAAAAGATCGGTGAACAAAGAAACAATGAGAAGGCAGGAAACCCAGCAAACAGTAATCCCTATGAATCAACCACGCCTAAAAGCCACAACARCTGGATGAACGACTAAACCATTTGTCCCTGTTGCAAAACCCACTGAAGTGGATTCAAAGGAGGAGACTCTCTGGAATGTATGCAAACGAAGGGGAGTTACTGCAATAGGACTAGGGGAAAATACTGCAATAAAGAGGCTTTAGGATTTACAGGGGAGTACTTAGCAGCTGTGGGGGGATGTTGTAATCCATAAAGAGAATTTTAGGGTTTTCAAAACTGCACTGGTATGCTTGGGGTAAAAATCACCGGCTGGGAAATGGAGGGATCAGGTTGGATCAAATGGAGAGAAGGTACACATCATGAAAGCCTGTCAAATGCAACTGGTATGTTTGTCTGCACAAGTTTTGCATCTGATCATCACAGCTTGTATTATATTTGTAACAAGATATTTGAATTATTTCCCATGCGACATTGTTCTCTGTTGTGTGCATGTGGTCTGTCCAGTCAGCAAGTAGGATGAAAGATTTATAAGGCCAAAAACCTGAGACCTATGAAAGTCCATCTCTCTGAGTGCTGATCCTTAGGAACAGGATGAGGCCACTGACACTGGGCTTTTATGGGTGTCACTGAAGTAATGTCTCCCGTCAGCATTAAATAGTGTGTGCGTGTCTGTTTTGAGCTTGCAYGCTACTCTGCTACTGCTGGCATGTGAAACAAGTAAAATCTCACTCATCTCCACTGACCCAGGAGAAAAGAAACCCATTGGACCTTTCAGTCCACCAGATTCAGTTTTGCTTAATACCTTCCAGGAAAAGCAAGTGCACCTGGCCAATGTCTACAGTCCATTCCCCTTGTTCTACTCCCACATCCAAGCATGGYTGTAGGAATAATGGAGAATACAGCACAACCTGTTCTCTTTGGTATAGACTGGGTTTCCATTAGTTTGTCCGTGAGCTTTTTGAACCTGATGATAWTTTTGACATCCATAACTCCTGTAGCAGTAGGTACTAAGAGTACCTTTTTWATTTATTTTTAATTGATTACCAACTAGTTTTATCACATGTGCCCAGTATGCCATGGAAAGATTTGCAGTTTTCCATTCACTTCATCCACTGCCTTCATTATTTTTGTAAATATCAATACTTCATCTTCCGACAAATTCTGCTCATTCTGCTCACCAAATGATAGGATCCCAGCTTTATTCGTGTCTTCTGGGAAAGAACTTGTTCCATCCCATAWTTGTCACTGAGGATCATGCTGCAAATTGTAAGACCGGCTTAGAGGGTCTGTCTGGAAACTTGTTAAATGCTTTGCCYACATATAAGGCAGAATTCATTTCATAGATAGCTCACATTTTAGGTGCAGCTCTTCCTAGCACCAGGCTGTTCAGCAAGAAGCAGCCCATTTTCATTCCAATTATTTTTTTCCCATTCCAGCCCGTTTTGGAAAAGGAGGTTTATTCCCGGGAGAAACGGCATCTTGCGGAACAAGCCACGGAACGATGGTGACACTCAGTGGCCCTGCAGGAAAAGTGCACCTTTTGAGTTCACAGGGTTCTTTCCAATTTATCAGSAAGACTAAATAAACCTTATACACAGGTGAATAAACAACATTTAGCATAAGCATGAGCCTGCATACTGTGCCATACGGATTCATGTAGTACAGGTATGTAAATTGACATCTAGCTGAGGTAATTGCACTTGTCTTCTTTCCTTTTCCCACACTCATTTACTCACTTCAGTCTAGAAGYGAGACCATCGCCTTCAGGTATCTCAGAAGGAAAACCACAGGTCTCTTATGATGAACTGTTCATTGCACAAACTACCTTCTTCATGTATAGATTTTATGTATGCCATTTATTTTTTTTTTTTAATAGTGCCCAAAGAAGGTCAGAATCCATTTGGAACCGTYTTGTGTATTAACAGTCCTCCCTCTTTTAAGGGGCCTACTTCCCACTCCTTTTAAGAGCTTCTGTTTGCAGAAAAAATGCCTTGCTGTCCGAGATGCTGGCTACCAGGTTGCCTCTTACCTGCCTCCTGTTCTTCTGGACCGTCCTGTTTTTATAGGTTGAATCAGAAAAACTTTGCAGGAAATTTCCCAGTTGCCTTTGGGCCACCAAGGACAGGGAGCACTTTTCAAGAGCTGGCATTACAGAGCAAGCACCAGTTGCCCTTGCAGCACAGACTAGCCATTTATTGCATCTCCTAATATTAGCTTCAAGAAGCAAAGACCTCACTGACTTCTACTGTATATTCCTAAGGGAACTTGCCACACAGCACCTTTTTTTTCATCTCTCTGCTTTGCCAGCTTCCTCAGCCCCTCTCATCTGCAATTGAACAACATTGWTTGGCTAGAAACCATGGCCTAGAAATACCTGTTTGTATTAATATTTCACACACTTGTTTTTCTCACTTATCTACACTATGCAGGTACAAGGTGCCAAGACTTCCTATMATCAGAAGGAGGGAAGACTTAGTGGGCTTGCTTCTATCAAGCTCTAATTTCATAGCAATTTGGTCATATAAACTGTTAAGCAGACCCTTGACACATGTCCATTTAGAGAAGGGAGAGCCTGTTATATGGGTACAATGAGCACACTGGGTTACAGCTTCAGGTTTTATTTAGAACCTCCCTATCTGAAGTTCAGCCAGATCAGAGGGCTTTGACCCCAAAACTCTTTCAGTCCATCCCAAATATCCAGAGGAAGAGACTTGCCAGGAAGGTCACCGGGACAGGGAACAGGTGCTGCTTTACTCCCTTTGCAAAGCACCATCAGTCTCTACTGACTCCTTCAATGTCTTCGGAGGGAGCAATGCTAGGGGAACAATGGTCCGAGGGCTGCTCAGTTTATTCATATTTTTGCTTCCTTGAACTCAACCCTGTCCTTTTGTGTCAGCTGTCCACAGAATGAATTGCTCCRTTCCTCAGGTTTTCTACCTCCCCTAAATGCTTGCTAAGCACTGCTGTGAGACTTTTCTTTTCCTTTTGTCCCTGTGTGGAAGGGATGGTTCTGCCCCCTTTATGGACCAATTGTTCTGAATGGTCAGAGAAAAAATAGATTTACTGTCCTTTTGCAAGCTCTGTTGATCAGGCAAAGGGCTGCTACACAGGGATAACCCAAGCAATCCTTGTCACATTACCTGCTTCACTTTTTGTTCCTTTATCTCCTTCTTTTTTCTCCCAAAGTATCTCCTCTTTAGAAGCCTTTTTCACTTCTCCGTTGCCCATGGTMTTGTTGACTTCATAACTTACTTCATATTTTTGGCATGACTGTCATGGTAATTTTCCTTTAAGCAATCAGCTCTGTAAAACTAGAACCCATTTTTTCTTATCTAGTATCCTATCTTTTATGGGTGTTATTTTGCTAATGGCACTGCATATCCTGCTGAGYTGTCTGCATACACTCTATTGTCTTGTTGCATGGGTTGCATCCTGAAATTCCTCAAATTGTTGTCTTTTTTAGGTAGTGCCACAGGTAAGGATTAGTCATTTGGGTTAGTGTCTTGACAAGAAGGGACTGGGTGTTTTCAAGAGTCTAAACATGTAGTGAATTTGGAGCAAGTGTTATTTTGGTTTCATGCCCTCCCTTCATAAGACATTGCTGTACAGTCCTTTTCTGTCTGTATGAACTGGAAAAGTATTTTTTCCTTATCCTTCCCTCTCCTGTTCCTACTCTTCAGTTATGACAGAAAAATGATTCACAGGGCCAGGTAGTAAATCAGATCAGAGTTAAAAATGTGGGGTTTTTTTTGCATGGAGTTTGCTTGCAGACCATCTATAGTGTAAACTAAATTGAAAAGAGAGCTCAAAGATGGGACTTGGGGTGGAGAGAGTTGTATCACTATGGTGACCAAATGYAAAGTATGTAACCATGATGTGCAAAATGTTTTCCTTTTTTTCATGCCCTGAAATCTTCATCAACTGTGGAGTCACTGCCTTCTTTCCAGAAGAAGGTCACTTTCCTTCTTTCCACATACTTTATTTACTTGCTCCCAAACTAATGTGTATTAAACAAGTTTTCACATAAAAACTTAGGACAAAGGAAATACGGTGTTTCCAACACAGCTGGGGAGAAAAACCAGAGCAATGAAGTTTTCCTTATGGAGGCAGAAGACTCAGGTTGCAGAATCAGACCAYACTAGGAGGAAACCTTCTTTGAGGGATCTGTGGAAATAATGAGGAAAKAAAAGGCAAAGTGCCTGATGAATTTTTAGGACAGTATCTATGGACTGAGAGATCTTATGGGATGAGTTGCAATATCTTTTTATCATTTCCAGTTCTATTTASATTGGGGATGCCATGAAAACAGTACATGTGAGAACTGTATTGAAATGCAATAAAATTAGATCATTTTAACCTTCCATGGTATGCTCAAGCCTTAGTCTACATCAAGATTAATACCTGGGCTAGAAACTGCCCACACCTAGTAAGTAGATCCTATTTCAACCTGCAGTCTGAGAAGGTTCTACATGACAGGACAGGATTAAATGCAGAGCAGAGGTGGGGTGCTCTGCCTGYTTACCACCAGTCCTCTGCTCTGCTCCAGCTGTTCCCACCTTGGCAGCCTGTTAACACTAACCTGAACTGCAAGGGAAAGCATACTCTCGTGCCGTGCAGTCATCTGTAGAAACAAAAGGGAAAGGGTGGTCAGCTGCACGACTGCATGGTGGGGTAGTGCCAAGCTTCTTCCTYTGTAGCTTAACCATCCCACTACCTTAATTTTTCATTCTTCAGACTGTGAGCAAAGAAATGACTACAGCAGGTCAAGTCAGCAATCTGTCTCCCCAGCATGTTTCCCATACAGCTATAAAAGACCACATTCTGCATTGTGATAYCTTCTAATGCAGGGATATTTTTTAYAAATAAAAAACCTTTCAGTAGTGTGTCCTGATAGCCTTGTTTGTTTAGTGATAATTAGTATTTTCATGCCAGATAACACTTTTTAAACTTCATGTACTAAGCACAAAAATCCGTGTACAGGATGAATAGCAAAGAGTGAGCATATTAGGTGACAATATTTAGCTCTGTAATGGCTAAATTAAAAAGTATCCTCCGCTTTTTGCCATGGTGTGGAAGGGGGAACAAGAATGGAATTTAGTATACAGCATGTTGTTCTGCTTTCTAGATCTTCAGCAGCAGTTTTTCCATTTTGTTCTCAAATTATTTTAAAAACATAATTTGTAGTGTTCCATCTGCTGTTTKGTCTCATACTGAGCAAAAAGTAATCAGAGAGACTCAAAATGTCAACAAGATCTCTCTTCAGTGTGCTGATAGTTCATTTCGATCTTTAAAGGATAAGAAATTATTTTCCTATTATCCTCTGAGATGGCAGGACACAATGGATGGTAGGATTATTGCACCCTRCATGAAATGCAAACAACTAAATTCTGCCTTCTAGTGGATCAGGGCAGCATTATGTAATACTGATTTTACATAAAAGCCTGAGTATTCTCAAGGGAGATAAGGAGCYGGAGAAGGCATGGCAAATTGTCAGAGAAATATTCTAGCTTGAAGCTAGAGGAAGTAAACAAACACAGTTATTTGGAACAYGTAACACCCCCAGACACAATCTATTGCCAGGCAGTCTCAAGAACTTTTCTAAACAAGTGGCTACTTGAGTGTTGAAGTTTTGTACAGAGGAAACCCAAGCTTGAAGCTGCAGGGAGAAGTGCACTGGAATAAGGGAATTAAGGGAATAAGCCCCTAGTCAGAATTATGTCCGAGTGGCAACTACAATAGTTACTCTTTGCCAATGTCAGTGAAATCTCACCTGGCTTATAGTAGTCATAGACATGCACTGTTGCAGCTTTCAGATTCTGCACTTCAACATCTTGTTCCACTGAAATGTTAAGCTTCAGAGGACTCTCAGCCAGCTGGAGAGAAGAATGRAAGTGAGCAGAAATGCACTGATCATCTCAAAATCACCTGCATACTAGTTTACTCCTGCATCAGAGCTTTTTTTTTTTTTCTGTCTTTCCAGATTCTTCCACCCTCTTCCTCTTTTGTGAAAAGTTTAGGCTGCTTAACCAGCCTAGGGATTTGTATTTCTGATCTGCCAAAGTCACAATGCCAAATATTTCAGTTGCTGCTACTTGAATGGACAATTCCCTGTGGTSTTCCTCTTACCTCCTCCAAGTAGATTGTGATTTTGTCTGGTTTTATCTCTGTCTTTTTCACGAGGGGWACCTTCTCCAGCTGTATAGGAAGGCAAGAGATGAGCTTAGTTAATATCAGCTTATTGGCCTTCCCTGTTCCACACCAGATTTGGTATTTGTCAGTGAACCACTGTTGACAAAAGCACTTAGCCTAGTCAGGTCTGCCTTCCTCAGCACTGAGATTGTTGGGACCCTACCAAGCCTTAGAAAATATTTTTCAGATTTGGGACAAGTGTCCTTGAGTTGTGTTCCTACTTTYAGCATTTGTAGCAAAGGGAAAGCTGGTTAGTAGCAGGCTATGGTGGATCTTCCTAACTATTGCCTGGAAAACTGGAGCACATCATTGAACAACTCTGTAGGATTCAACACCACTTTATGGAGTATCCCTAAAAATGGCACTGGTAACTGCAAAGGGTCCCAGTGCACCCCAAGTAATTTTAACTAGGTACTTTTTCATCTTCTCTCTAACTTCTTACTCTGTATGCAATCCTCACTATGAAYGTGAAAAACAGCACAACCAGTTGGGCAAGTGTTGCCTTGTGAAATAGCCTCTTATATCTGCACTCGTAGTCACCATTCTCTGACAGTTCTTAAAGATTTGGRTATTTCTGACTGAGCTGCATCTGGAAAATAGATTTTGGTATCTTCAAGGAAGGCCAAAGGGAAAGCCTCACCTCTTTCACAGARCTCTGCACAGGAATGAACCCTGACAGCATCTCCACTTCCACCAGGGCCATGTTACTCGTCCCTCGGTCTCCTACATAACTGAAGAAAGTCAGGAGAGAAGCACATTAGATATGGAAGGCACCACAGCATTTCTAGGAGATACTAATGGACCCTTACAAACTTTGCTCTGCCCTACAGTGATATGAAAGCTCAGCAGCATGCCTAACAGATGGGAGAAAAGGACAAAAAATGGTCCCCATTGACTCACCCAGTGTGGAGCCAGATTGTACAGCAAATGTGTTATTGTTAATGTTGAAATAATATGGCTTCATGTTGCCCTCTCCAAGAGGTGGAAATGACCTCTGCTGTTACAGGTTGAGAAAGGCAATGGTGGTATTGTTCTCTTTCAGTATGGACAGTAAGGCATGGAGAATATGGATCAAGACTCTCACCCTAGACAGATGCAGGCAAGTGGAATATGGATAGGGACGGGGTTTCTGCTGTCTAGTTCCAGCAGAGGTTCACACTACAGGAGGATGAACCTCCAGGCTCATTCAGCCCAGGATGCCAAGTGCCCCTCGACATGGGACCTCAGCTGCTAGTGCTCTGGAAGCTGCTGAGCTGCTCCATGCTGCCCAAGATAGTTGCTGTGGTTCTGACACTGCCAGTGCACTGCCATGCTTCTCCAGGCCTTAATTCTCAGTTAAAAATCTCCTTGGTATCCATGGARAAGAAGAATCATCCCTGTGTCTGTGAATCCACAGACAGGAGGCTTTCATGCAGTTCTAGTCACACATCTGGGTTCACACTTTTTTCTCCTGAAGGAAGACCCTCAAGGGACCTCATACCTGACAGACACATGGATGTCAAACTCTTTCCTGACACCATCACATTCTCTTGGCACTGTTTCCACATCCAGGACAAAGACATCTTCTGTTTTTGGTGGTGGGATGTTATAGTACAAAGTGTTCTGGTGGGAGAGAAAACATCTCTATGAAGTKCCCCAGAGTTTCCCTGAGTAAAGGAGTACCTGTACCTCCAGCTTTTAATGGATTGGTAGCCCATGGCTAACACAGTTGGACCAAATGCACTTTCTGTTCAGAGATGTGCAGTTTAGCACATAGCATCAGATACACCTGCCAAATGCAASCCAAATCTTGGAGACTCAGCTATCTGTGATTCAAGACCTCATTCAGTCTCATTAAAAAATTATTGTTAAGGTTCAAGGAAGCACATTAGCTAAAGCACTGCCCTACATGGAGAAAGAAGGGCAAATGTTAGCTCTTGACATCCTGTTAGACAGCAGTTCTAGGTCTCAAGGGGAAAATACTGGTAAAACAATTCCAAACCCTTAAGAAACAACAAAAAATTGGAAGAAGACAACTCAGCAGGACGGATGAGCAAACTCATCCAAAGAGCAGCATAAGCCAATCTTCCTCCACCTGCCTGGTAAATGACTGCCTCCCCATATATTCTTATCAGATGCCTTATGCTCCTTGACTACATGCAAGTGTAGCCAAGAARTATGGTTCTAGTTGCCTCCTGTATGCATTAACAATCCATAATTGTTGTGTCCTCTTGACTAGACACTGCTTGCATGTTCTCTGTGAGCATCACAATATTCTCTTGTGGGCATCATCTGAACAGAGGTGACCCAGCAAAGGAGATTTTTGAGTTCTTTGCTTCATGGATGGCTCATAAGTAGACCACTATCAAAACTGCTAGAAAAATAAGAGGTACCTTCCTGATGGACCAGTTATGTTGGTATACTGGAATAAGAAGACCTTAGTACTACATCACTCAARTATAACATAACAACCCAAAGAATATCATGTCAGAACACACACAGTGTCCAGCTCCTGAAGCAGTGATACTAGCAACATACATTCAAAATAGAAGCAGGTACCCTTTTGTTTCTCATTACTCCTGACTTCAGATCTACTGGTCTCTTAACAGTGACRTGGCTCTGTAGCATGAGACAGCAAAGCTGAGACATTTCCAAGAAGATATCAGAGATGGTTTTATGAAACCATGTCAACAAGTATACCTGAGTACCTTCAAGTTTGACACGATTGTGCCTAGAAGGTAAAATCCTGCTCAGAACTCAAGGTTACAGCACCTTAAAGCCAAACCTCACTTCTATAATCAGTGGTAAAACCTGAGAGCTTTATTCCTTATGCATACGCACCTGGACATAAACACAGCCGCTGCCCGTCGCTTGCACGGTGTAGGTTCCGGTGTCCGCAAAGAGAGATGCCTGATGCAGGACCAACTTGTTGTTAYTGTGCACATGGAATGCCAGTGGAGAAGCCTCCTTGCCTTTCACTGTCACCCTAACATCTCTGATCTGCTGAGGAATCAGGGCTGCATAYTGAGCAAGGGCCTGCAGGCTGACAACTGTGTCCTGAAGGGAGAGAGAGAGTTGCTTCACTGGGGGGAAATGCAGGACAAGACCCAGCACGCTACTTCAGGGACTGCAGGGAGAACCACTCTCCTCATGGCCCTGATTCATGTTCTGACACAGGCAGGCTCTATCCCACCAAGCGCAGAGGTAGGGTCTCTGTCACAGGCAGCTGGGTGATTTCTGTTACCTGGAAAGGGCAGCTGGTGAGCTCTGGGTTTAGCAGTCCCAGGCCCTGGATAATCCCAATTACACTACACAGAGAAGAATTTCCCCATGGCACTCCCCTTCCCAAGCAGGGCTCATATAGCTTTGTCTTGCAAAGGATGGGTCTAGAATGACATGCACATGAGAGATGTGCACATCACTCCAGGCACAATATCCTCTTTCCCCATGATTTTCCCTGGTTTGTTACCTGTGTGGAAGCAAATCCTCCAAAGGCATTTCTTTGTCCACTGAGCCAGTGCACCAGCTTGCTCACCGAGGCATCATTGGCTGACACGTCTGGTTTGGAGACATGAGCCAGAATGATGTAGGCTACTGTCTCAATCATGGAAGAAGATGTTTCATCAGCRGATTGCGATGTCAGTAGCTGTGCTGATGGGAGAAGAAATATGTGAAAAAGAAGAACTGTAGATCCCTTTGTATATTCAAAGTTATGTCTCCAAGCTTCAGCATTTTCGCTGTTTCTTCATTTGTCTAACAYAGAGTAATGGGACCCCCTGTGTTGGAAAGCTCTAGAACTCATTTCCAGTCAGTTGTACCTATTGTACAAAAACATATCACTCTTTGAGGGAGTATTGCTGTCAGGCTACTGGAGGAGGAAGACTACCCAATTACTTTGCTGGCATGCTCACTGTGCAGTGCAGTGAAGGGCAATTCAAGCAAGAGCTGGGCTCCCACCTCAGGTCCAAGCTCAGAAGCACTGAATACATCTGAGTCGAGTTGAATATTTTGCTGCAGTGGTAGTAGGGGGCAGCAATGTGAAAGCAGTCACAGGGTTTGAATTTTTAAAGTAAAAGCCCTGACCAGCAGTTGAATAGACATGGTGAAACAAATTTCCTTGGCAAGATCTCTTGCACTATGCATTAATTGGTGAAGAATGACAGGAGCACCACAACACAAATAAGCATTTTCACCACACAAGTTTAACATGGATCACCTCTGCTGCTTTTGATTAGGAATTGTTTACTATGTCTGAGGAAACTAGAGATGCTCATAGCTTCAATAAATTAAGGTTTTCTGACACAAAAGCCTATTTGAGAGTMGCTAAATTTCCCAGATTACTGCAATTAAATGCTACAGAGATCAGACCTTAAACACAGTCATCATCTYCAGGACCCAACTGCAACAACCTACCAGTTTCCTTCTCTACCAGGTCCATTAGCTGCTTTCTCATCTCCATGTCCTTGCTCAGCGTGAAGACATAAGCCATCAAAGCCTTGACATAAAGGCTTGTCTCATCRAGTGTTACACTCTTAAGGCAATGTAAGGCATTATCCAACATAGTGTCCTGGAAAAGGAATCCAAACCAAGTGAATTTCCTCTGACAAAACAACCTGTTGTCATGAGCATCTATCCCAGACACATYCTGGATGTATTTTAGTGCTAGCATCTCTCCCAGGGCTGTGGAGCATGGAGTGSTCAAAGCAGCCTCCACTGTGGGTTGAAAGCAAAGGTGGGCTGGACATATTACTGCGGTGGGGGATTGCTAACACACTGAAGAATCCAGCTGTGGAAAGGGTCTGGTAACACACAAGCTTAGAACTGTCACACCCCCAAGCTGTGGGTCTTGGATCCTGAGGGATAAGATGGTATTTTTAGAACTGTACCATTAAGCCTAGRATATCAGTTCTTTTTTGATAGAACCATCTACACTTGTCATGAAGATCATTGCTTTTATTTGGGGAGGCAGGACAGTGCATACCTGAAAAGGTCTTTTTTTTTCTCCTTTAGCTCTGTTCATCAGTCTAATGACAACTATTGCCTCTCCCTGCAAGCCCTTTCCCCTGAGATCAGCTGGGAAAAGCAAGTGCTCTGCTTTCCTGCAAATCAGGCCATTTATATTAAGAACTCCTCACCAAGTTAAATTTTTCCTATTTAGCTTATTGTGTACCAAGGTAGGAATGACWGAACCTTTCACCCACTCAGGCTGGGTACTCCTGGAAGCTCCTGACCAGGGGAGGAATGAATGGTGGAGCACGCTCCCAAGCCCTGCTAGAGCTCAGGTGTGACTTACATTCCTCTCCAGAGGGAGTTCCACCAGTGCAGCAGCAATGTAGGCTGTTAATGAGATCGTATCATCCACACCGCCCTGCAAGCGCACAGACAGTCATCAGAAAAGGACAAACCCATGCCTGTCATTGTACAGCCACTGAAACTGCATCTGAGGGCCTACAGCAACACACTTCTAGGCGTTCTTGGACACAAAAGCACTCAAGGCTCACTTGCTGAATATCATCAAAGTTTGGTGTTAAGGGCAGTCTCAGCTATGTGGTTAACACAGCCTAGACATCCGTTCTTGTAGAAAGGCATGAAGCAAACTGTTAATCAATTTATTTTATTGAATATGTTGCAAATGTACTCTTGAACTAAGATTTTATGATGCAGGATTTGCATACAAGAAGTTAAGCGAGTTTACACATAATTGATCTGACGGAGAAGCTATAGATTATGTTAAACAAACTTTCAGGAGCTGCTTTTCACCTCAGAGGRTATACATTCTTGGTCTAGAGAGAGAATTAAGAAAGTCTAGCAGAGCCTAAACCCTCACATAGAGGAAATGACTGCTGGTTTAGGCCATGTTTTCATTCTGCCCTGGGAAGATGCCTTCAGTGTGCTAGGCCATGGGAACGTTGGTTTGTGCTATGGCTCACAGTGGAAAAGCCTGGGGAAGCAACTCTGTGCCTCACATTGTGTTCCTCTGGCYCCCACTCCCATGTCTGGCAGCCATACCTTCAGGTCATTGTTGAAGAGCTTCCCCACAYTCTGGAAGCAGCCAGTGGGCAGCTGGTGCTTCTGCAGCCAGAGCAGAGCGCTGCGCACRTGCTCCTTATCGATGTAAATGTGAGAGCTGGCTTGGCCAAAGGACCTGGCCACAAAAGCTGTCAGCCTGTGAGCAGAGCATGAGGAATCCGTGTCACAGCCAGGAGATGAATCAGCAAGGACAATGGGTTTAGGATGACAGTAGCAATTCTGTCACTCACCACGTGTTGCCCTGCTCATCACCTTTCCCAAAGGCGCTGTAGGAGCCATCATCATGTTTGTAGAGCAGCTGACGCTGGTAACCTGGGACAACAGGACATGACTCTGATTGTGAGGACCTGCAGCATCTCAAACTGTATCCCTGCTTTGGGAAGATGGTGTCAGCAGGAGGCTTCACCAGGTGCTACAGTGGGAGCCACTGAGACAAGCACAGCACCCCCAGTTCCCCCTGCACCCCATCGGTGTGACAAGAAGCAGTTGCACAGCACCACTGCAGCTGCTCTGCATTGCTGGAGCTGTTTGGAGCGAGTGCTGTGGGTGTCTGCCCTGCTGTTTGGCACAAGGGTGACATGCTCTGCCCCCTCATGGCTCTCCATGTGCCAGGGAGCCCTCAAGGGCCTTGCTGTGAATAAAAGGAGTCATGGGAGTGAGGAGRAAGGCTTTTCCTAGAGGGGACACAAATGAAATCCTGTTTGCTTTCCAGCACTTCTTCTAGCCCTGTTGAGACTCAAGAAAGCACTTTTTATGGGATGTACGGTAAGAAGGCCATGCCTTTGAGCTCTGAGGACAGAATGCTGTCTGCATCTGTTTGCTCTCCCTCCACCTTCCTCACAGCCTTACTGCTTAGCCTTTTTCTTGCCTCACTGCCACCACAATTCTCTTGGGTAGGCCTCCCTCTCCCAGGTAAATGTACATGTTCTCAGTACATGCTTGCAGTACAAGAGAAATTGGGGAAAAGAAAAGGAGTCAAATGCTGTCCATGGGAGGCTGCTGAGCTTGCAGCATAGCAGGACAAGGAGACTGGCAGGCTGAAATGGGAAGCCCACATGAGACACAGACACTGGCACTGCATTAAATTCATACTATACTGGATAGAATTGACATGCCCCCAAAATATGTTTTCTAAAACATGGAGAAATACTAGGCTTCTGAACTCCTACTATTCCCAAAGGCCACTCTTTATTCCAGCAGCTGATGTAACAGCAGCTGATGCCCTATTTTCACAAGGTGCTTCTGTCAGTTTTGGACTGATAAGTGAACAAACAGGCATCACATAATAATGGAAATCACTAATTACCCACAYCCTTCTCAAAAAAGCAGATTTAGCACTCAATTACCTGCTTTCTTCAGAAACACTTTTCTTTCAATGAGACATTTTCCTTTATGTCTGTGATACCTTCCTTTATCTCAGCTCTGTCAGTGCCTCCCACTGCTGCCTTTCAGCTCCCCACTAGACCCATGCCCCACACTTTTGATTTATAGCAGCTTCATTTTCAACAGAAAGAAGGACAATGCTTACCTGTTGTCAGGAATTTCAGTGCTTCATCCTTAATTTCTGGGTTCAGTTGTTTAGTTTTATTCAGGTACTGGAGTATGAAGATGTTTGGTGCAAACTGGACCATGTTCTGTTCACCACAGCCAAAGGGCATGCTTAGCAGCTGGTCTAAATTTTGAAGTGCTGGACCCATGATGTCACCTTACAGTTGAGAGGAGAAAGGAAAAGCACAGACACTGAGCAGTAGGAAATGAAAGGACTGCTGCCTTCCCGAGACTCTGCTGAGATCCTAGAAAAGGGCCAGTCCCTGACTGAACAGACATGATTGAGATTTCTGGTGACCCCTCCTACATTAGGCCAGCACAGAAAGGGAAGGCATGATGGTTCTGGGAGGAGGAAGGGAAGCTTGAGGGGTTCTGAAGAAAGGTAAAGGGAGCTGTCATTCCTGAGTAGAAACAAAGGTGGGAAAGGATTTACAKATGCAAAATAGGTGGAAATCTGCAGGAATGGCTTTAGTTCACTCAGGCAGAGGGCAGTGACAGGAGTCAGAGTGGATATCCTGTTTTGTGCCTTTTCCTCCAGACACTTGGGGATCATCTAGAAACATTCTTTATGAAAGGAATAAATATCGGAAAAGATTACTTCACCCGCATTCCTGAGGTCAACATCACACCCCTTGCAGATGATCTCATGAGGGGCTGGGTCAACACATCAGAAGGGCCAAAGCTTTGTGCAAGTTTTTTTCACTACAGCCCKAAGAGCAAGGAAAGCCTTTCTCACCAATCACAGAGAACGTGACCCGGGCAGATCCCTGCAGCACTTCTGCGGGCAGAGTCACGGAGAACTCTTCAGAGATTGTGTTATCTGAGGAAGGCAGAATCCAGAAATTTATCCTGTGGAAGAARCCTCACACAAGGGTAACATCCAAGRAGACCYAGGTGAAGCTTGATGTGACAATGCGTCACAGGAAGACTTGTGAACAAATCCCTCAATACAGGACATTTTTAGAGATAAAAGCTTTGCATGGACAAATTATAGTGGTTGTTCTCACAGGYAGGGAGGGTGCCACCAATGTTTGCTCTCAGATTAATTCTCCCCCATCTCTGAGTGACCCTGTCCCTTTCATCCTGGTCTCATGATGGCAGTCAGGAATTTTTGTTTCCTACCTGCAGGACAGAGAAAGGCATTTTGGGTCTTCTCTTGTAGGACACCCCCTGGCTGCAGATGGAGAAAGAGTAGTTCAGGTAGGGAACATAGGAAAGGAAGTCACCCTGCTTTAGCAAGTTTGTCTGATGTCCAAGAAGGAGCTAAACTTCCTCTTTACATTATGCTTACTGCCCCAGGGGACAAACCACTGTCTCCAGGGTTTCTCCACACTGAGATGTGACCAACCTTCACAAGAAGAGATTTTATCACTGTGTCTCTCTCTCCTTGCAAAGGTGTCAGAGCAATCCTGTTACCACACAGACTGTGTGAGTCTTCTGCCACGCTGCTCACGGTGATGTTCACTCTGCCTGCAGGGAGAACAAGGGCACGTTGCTGAGCACTTGTGGTCCAGACATGCAGATGAGGGCAAATTCCACCCCTCCTCCCACAAGCTGCCACAGGTCCCCCTGCCCAGCCTCACCTAGCCTRGTCGCCGTCACGTTCCACACAAAAGTTTTTGCTTCATTGGCACAGAGGCAGCTGGTGAACTGGCAGCTTGGACAGGCATCCACCTTCAGTTCTGGGGTCTCCATGAGAGTGGTGTGGATCTGAGCATGGATGAATGTACAAACACACATTTGGATAGTGCTGGCCAAGGCACAGCATCAAGCAGCAAATACCTTGGGTCATAAAGTGYGAGGTTGTGTTATGGCCCAGATGCCAGAATCTAGAGCTCCTGAGAAGCTCAGAGCTTGCCTTTGGGCTCAAATTTTTRTTCTGACAGAGGCTGTGTGACTGGGGGAACTCCCTTGGGGAACTCACTTGGGGAACCCACCTGCATACAGTCCTCGAGGTAGTTGAAGACAGTGGCTTTTAGGGTGAAAGTCTCTTCTTGGATCACAGAGTATGGCAGTGATACATCCACAAAGAAAGGCTGGAAGACCCTGAGAGAGGTCATAGGCGAGAAACCAAAGCCAATATCAGCGACACAGAAAGTGTTGGCATTCCATTCTGTGATGGTGTCAGGTACAGCAACTTGGAGAGATGCTTGTCCGTTGTCCCTAGAGCAGGAAGCAGAAGAGGAGGAYTTGCTTAGAAGCAGTCAGAATATTCCAGGGGTGTCCCTGGGGAAGGAAGGCAGAGGCTGTTACCAACCCGACAGAGACCAAATCCCAAATCCAGGTCTCTGGGAAAAGCGTCCGAGGTTTTGGCTTCTTCTTGTCATTAGAGTGAGGTTTAGAATCATCTTGGACAGCGTGGCTGCCTGGTGGAAAGCAAGTGATACCTCAGAAAACAGTGTCTATAGCAACAGGTGAAACTGGTTCTTCATTCACAGGCAATCTAACACAAACCACAAATGTGTTCTGATACAGAATGCGAGTGGACAGGGCTGGTGTTTCAATGAGAATCTGACACAGTGTGGATATCTCTAGGGAACACAGCTTTAGGGAGACAGAGTTGGATAGAGTTTAGCCCAAGGCTCAGTCTTACAGATCCAAATTTGGTCTGGATCCAGGAGGAGACAGCATGCCAAAATGAAGGCACATTCCTTTAAATAATCTGTGAAAGCRCTGGCAGAGCACACTGCATTTTATATGAAAAACACTGAACACAGGGACACCAAGAAAGCATGGAGATTTGAGCTYCTGTGTGAGACTTGTAAATCAGGTCCATTGAAATGGACACAAGCTTTGTTGTTCTCATACACAAACCAGAAACGCAGCAGGATGGGGGTCAGTTGTCTCAGCTGCAGGCTGACCAAAACTGGGAGAGGGAAGCCCCTTCATTCAAGGAGATGGACAAGCCTGTTCCTTACCAAGCATATTGTCTTTCCTTAGATATATCTTTCTATGAAAGTCTGGACGCACACAGGAAACAGGTTTCTTGATTCTGGTGTTGGTAAATATTTTCATGCGCARTTTCTGGGAAAACAGCACAGACAGTAAATCGATGATAAATAAAAAAGAACGAGGAATATTGATAGTATCTCATGATTGTGGGCATCAAAAGGGGGCGGGTGGCCAGTGGCAAAACACTTTTAAATGCTGCTTGTTTATATCTGTATGCATAAACTTACAGGCTGAGACTCGGACCAGTGTATGAGGAATGGAAACCAGCATCTGAAGAATGCTGGGGCCAACTATTACTGCTCACAGAAGTAGATTTCAACTAGATCTGCACTTCATACACCCGACCCTAGCAATGAGACATAAATAAGGAATAAGYCTCTAGGGACAGCACAGTAACATGCCTTTTGAAGGGAAGCAGAGTCTGTATTTGTATGGTAGAGTTCTGTGAGCCTGAGAAGCTCATGCAATTCAGACCACATGCTGGATTGTTTTCAGTGTATTGTCACCCTCTTCTCCTATTTTGAGGTGCTTCTACTTGCAWAGATTTTTTAGAGAGCATTCTGCCAGAAGCAGCACTTCCTGCATTTCAGTTAGCAGACATGTTAACACTTCTCTGGCTATCGTGCTTGTTAGCACATTAGTTATTTCGTTGTTTTACTCAACGGTTAGCTATAAAGCAAAACTGTGAAAGAGTTCCTTATATTAAAATTGTGTTAAGGGTAAGTAAGAAGACTCAATGAAATACAAAGTAGTTTCTCAATGAAATACAAAGTAGTTTGTAAATAAAATAATAGCCAAGTAGTGATTAGTCAGAATATGATGAGGTGCTCAGATATTACTGCTGTGTTTTTGCCACTCCCCCTTTGTAGTTATGGTAGCCTAAGTAAATTAGTTCATTTTTACATTCTCTTTCTCTAATCGGTTGGTTTGTACTATGCTTACTCAGCTTTCCCCTTAGCCACCGAATGAGTGTGACTACACTGAACAACATGGAACAGATGACTTGTAACTATGGAATTTCCTAAGAGTAAGTTCTTGTAGGCATTCAGGACAGCATATTGGAACTCACTAGCTCAGGAAAAGTTTAGAGGAAGTATAGGTACCTTCAACAGATTATAGACATCAGCCTCACTTTGGTACCACGGTGCCCCCATRTGAGCCTTTTTGTGGAGGCTGGGCTTCTGGGGCAGACACGGGTATGCCTCAAAGTCTTCCAAGCGGTAAGGCAAGCCTCGYCCTCCAACCGTGAAGCTGTCTTCAAAGAATGCATTATACAACTGCAATGGAAAAACAGAGGTCTTCAGAAGGAGCTGGCCCACAAGCATGTRTATGGGTCAAACTTTTGGGTTTTAGTCCTCCATTACACATTGTAGAGTTTTTGCAGTTGAGAAAGTTGGCACTGGCCCAGCTYACACTAAAGAACATAATGTAAAGGRCATATATAAAATAAYATATACTAAAGGACATAAATCCAAGCAGTGGATGTAGACAAGCAGCTTTTAGTCYGCAAGACAGTTCAAGCCTTTCAACACTAGGGTGCAAAATTAGGATAAAAATGCATGATTCAGTTTAAACACAAGGCATTGGCAYATCTGACCTACATGTTTAAAGATTACTACTTTAAATAACTGTGAGCAGATGATGCAAGTGCTCTGCACGAGGAGAGCATCCCTGTGAAATGGAACACCAGATTCCGTTTGTAAGCCCTATGGAACAGGTGTAGTGTGTCCCTCTGGATKTGGTGAACCCTTTTTGTAACACTCTGAACTACTATAATTCGACTTAAAACTTCACACAAGGCATATACGTGTTTTATTATCTCTGGTACACATTGTGGATTTATGTTAGAATTTTCAATTGTTGCTGTATTTTTTGCTCCAATCTTTTAATTCATTTCTCTGAAACACACAACTGCTTTAAGGCAAGCACCTTCAACCCTTTTGATTCTCAGAATCCACCTGGGTGCTGACAAAATACTGACCACTTTTCATCAGCCACTGTGTGYTCTGGGTGCTCTCCTCTAGCAACTGTTCTTTAAAGAACTGCTCAGAACTACTGATCTGTGGCTATAACACATGGTTATAATTCAGCAGGGGTCGGGGCAGAGATATAGGAGGACCCTGCCAGGGCTAAATTCCTTATCAAAGGCCTAACATCACTGACTGGTGGAAGATGGTAGAGCAGAGATGTGRATGTGAGGAAAGCTGCTAAGCACTCCCCCTCCAAGCAGAAAGCATCAGCATCTCCTTGAAGCAGCTCTCCCTGCCTATCCCTGCAGTGCCAGCACCCTTCTGGCAGAGGCTCACAGCTCAGAGCTGATGATGAGGAACGTGATCACCCATAACTTCTCAGAAAAGGCTGACGGAGGGGAACGGCAGAGCAGCCATCTAACACTGGGATGAGATGTCTATGGGCTTCCTCCCACCCATACATGGAGACAGAAGGGAGGCAGACATCAGGGGGCGGGACACAGCAGGCTGCATTCACCTTGTCTGCTGTGAGGGTGTGGTTCTTCTCCAGGAGGACGCTCTTGTCAACAGCTCGCACAGAGCACAAGGACCCTGGAGCAGCCTTGAGGTTCAGTCTGACTTTCGATCCCGGCACTTCCTCCTTGTGTGAGAATTCGAGTGCCACCTGCAAGAGAAGACAGGGTCTGGGGGCTCAGCATTGGAGAGTGAGACCCTGTGACTCTTATATGTCTGGGTAGCAGAGGCAAGGATTTCAAATAAGGTAGGGAAGAGGGATGAGGTGCTGAATCAGGCCATCCTGGAAATCCATTGCTTAAAAAAATCCTTGAAAATCCAAGGTTAAAGAGGCTTCAGTGCACAAAGTCCAGAATTCCTCTACCACCACACATTCACCACCCTCTGATCGAGGGAGCTGAGCAGACAGACTTCTCTTCTGTGTTATGGAGCTTATGAGGGACAGGGTGTTCCCAAGTTAATAATGGGGTATGGGGGGAGAAAACAGACCTCAAGGAAGCCCGGTTTACTCCTTGAGCACAGCTTGCCTGTTGGCGTTGTGCAGAGCAGGTCTAGGAATTCAGGGAGAGGGAGGTTGCCTGTGTTGTTTCCCATCCAGAAATACAGGGCATCCAGTTTTATGTATATCCAGCTTACTCCATTTGGATAAGGATAAAGCAGGACCAGGAACCCCAGCAGACCAGAGCACATGAATGATGCTGTGACACCCCTTGTGTGATTTCTGCTCACCTTATGCTTAAAGCACGTTTCTAGTTCAAACTGCTCCACATCAGCCACCACCTCTCCATCCGAGAAGACTGCATACACCAGGAGCTTGATATCCGGCAGGAAATCATTGCTGACAGGCAGAGTCAGAGTGAAGGAGCCCTGCAGATCTGCACAAGGTAAGGAAGAGAGGAACAACATCCAATCCAATCAGCTCACCGGTGTGATGGGACACACATTAAAAAGCAAAAGAGGAGACTTAATTTCTACCTGCAGGTAAGAACACCCCACACAGACAATGTCACCAATTAATAGCAAACCAAACATATCAGCCATTTCTTTGACTCACATCTTCTCCAAAGGTACAAGTTAGCAGCAAAGTCATGAGATTGGCTATCAGATCAATTAGACTAGGAAGAAGGAAGACAGCTGCCTAGAAAGACACTGAATTGAGAGGAGATTGTGTTGTTCTTAGGAGGTGGACCACCAATACGAGCTCAGTTCAGTATTTCCCACCTGTGGATAAGAACAACACCTGCAGACAGAGTCAMTGGAGAGCACTCAGTTTTCTGAGGTTATGAGGAACTTAACTTCTCATGGTTTTACTCACTCTCATGCTGGGTAATTGGCACCTTCTTCTCTTTGCTGAAAAGGATCTTGCCCTTTGCTATCACCTGAAGAACAAAGAGAAGCACCATTCAAGGGTCTGAATTCTGAGAGCACGAAGAGAGTGTGAAAAGAACACAAGAAGAGAGGATGACATCTGACAGATGTTGCCCCAGAAGTTCCTCTGGCAGGACATGATTTCCAGAGCTCTGCAGCAGAGATGATGATAGTATAGCTGGATAGGACTTGAGACGTGTTGGTTAGGCAGTGAGAAGGTGTGGCTGCTTGCAAAGCCAGGGGCACTGCTCTTAAGGCCCAGAGAACTCAGAACTTTGCATTATTAGGATGCCATACTTTTTGATTGTTTGAATGAGACCCATTCAGTAAACAAGACACTCATAACCTCTCAGCTAGGCTGTAGTCACACCCTTGCTTTGAATCACTTCCTTRAAAGCTGACTTCATTAAAACATTGTTACAAACCTCTGGTGTGCATCGAAGTATTGTGCAGGGGCCTTTCAAGCTTTTCCCTGCAAAGATACAGGCAGGGGGCTGTCAGCTGCCCCAGAGGTTGCCTCTTAGCTCTCAGACAGATTGCCCCAGACACAGATGGACATCTGGGACACACCTTCTGGGCAGAATTTGGGCTAGCCCTCCACTGCCATCCATGTAAGAGAAAATAGGGAAAATGGCAGGCATCTGTCAGCCAGGCTTAAGGCAAGACATGGATAACAAAGCAATGCTGGGRACTAGGAGCAGGGCCAGGAACTGGAAAGCAGGTGAAGGTTTGGGCAGAACAAACACAAACTGACTCTAGGAGTAGCTTAACCTTTCCTCTGAGTATCTCTGTGCTCTGGGAAAAGGGTTAAATGCCAGCAAGCATAACCTTGCCCTGAGAATCAGCTGTCTTCTGTGCTCACCAAGTAGTAGAAATCAATGTGGTCTTCTGCAGAGCTGAGTTTATCCTGGGAAAGGATATAATCCACCTGCACTTCCTGCTCTTGATTACAGGACATCACATCATCCTTGGCCTTGATCTCAAGGAAGCTGTTGCTCTCAGAGTAGAAAGGTTTCAGCCAGTGGAAGCTGCCCTCTGTTTCACTTTCCACAGAAGATGGGCTCTCGTCAGTTGGAGGGTTGTAGGTTCCCTTCCCAGCACATAAACACAAGGTGGCAATACAATTAGTATCAGGTGAGGAACTTGTACCCCTGCTGAAACTCTGTCATCACCTGAGCTGATGGCACACTGCACATCTGGATGCTTAAAATAACAATTTGTTGAAATGTCATTTTAAAATCTCTTATGAGACTTTCTTTCACAAAGTTTTAACAAAAATCTAAGCCGAGTAGATTTGACCACAATGTTATCTTTCCTCCGTTATCTTTTCCTGGGACACACCCTACACCAGACAAAAGATTTTCAGTGGCTGATACTCACCCTTAGAGAAACCAACGTGCTGTTCCAGCTGGTGGTATCCAGTGTGAAGTGAGCTTCCCCATTCTCATCTGAGAGGAGTGAAAGCTGTGTCTCCTCATCATTGACGTCAACTATCAGATAAATTGTTTCATTTCTGAGGGGAAAATCTGCACTGTGGCAGAATATCTGTAAGGAAAGAGAGGAAGTTAATAGCCTGTTGTACCAGACTCTGAGACACTGACAGTGCTTAATTGCTTCTATCACTGGGCTCTCTCAGCCCTTCTCACTTTCAGACCAATTGGAAGGATCCAAATAACAGTCCAATAAATACACAAGCCCAGCAATTTGAAACTGTTCAGGACTGGAAAAAAATGGTAATACAGGCAAACAAGACACCTTTATTGGGGGAAAACGTGAATTGCGCAGATCCTGAGCTGCTTCTTGGACAACGCTGCAGGATCTTTGATGATSAGAAAGGTATTTGACTCCAACACCTGAACTCTTGCTATTCCTTGCCCTCACAGCTGGGGTTAGGGAAAGCATTTCCAGCCCCAGGACATGTCCTAGCATCACCCAGGGGACCCGAGTCAGTGAACAGAYATGCAAGGCTTTAGAGATTTCTGCCGAGTTACCACGAGCATCTGTCCAAAGGGAATGTTATGTGCCTGCTGACGCCACCCCCATCCCATATGCACAGACTAGCTTCAGGAACTACTCCTGGGGAAGCCTCCAGAAACTGCAGCTGGCCCCAGAATTCCAGTCCAGGAAATATACCATGTTAGGATGGGGAGAAAAAGGAGACTACACTCCTAGTTGCTGGGTGTTGGCAGAGTGTCATTTACTTTCCTGAAGACTGTTGCTTTCTACCTACAAAAGTTCTATCTGTGAGGCATTCTCAGCAGAGAAGGGTCCATGTGTGTTACCTTCCCTGTGTATGGCATCCCACGTTTGTAGAATGGGTGGAGGTTGACAAACTCTAGAGCTTTCGTTACCGTTGCAACAGGAATCAGAGCTTTTTCCACAGAATGTGCTCCTAGGTGGGGAGATGAAAAAACTGTTGAATCCTAAGCAGTTCTCTTAGGGAAGCAGAAGACAAAAAGGCGCTTCAACACTACCTACAACATCTCCAAGCTCTAAATACAGAGGAGAAAATACATTCTTCTAGGATATGATTCCCTCAAGCTTTCTGGGCTTCCTGATTCATGACATTATGCCTTGCACCCTATAGGTGTTTATTGATATGTTTATTTGTTTATGTTTGTTGAAGATAAAGGGAAACTAGATGACTGTTTAATTATAAAGAATCCAGCACTTTGCAACTGGCTGAGGAACACCCTTGGTGTCCAGGCAATCACTAAAAAATTACCCACCTGCTAAAGAAGGTGAGTGGTGGAGAGGATTAGGAAATCTGGTGAAAACAGATGGAAGAGGTACTAGAATAGAGGCTATTACCACAACAGAAGATTTGTGAACTCTCAAATTAGTTTTTCAGAAGGAATTCTACTGCCACAGAACGACCAAAACCAAAAGAGTTGCCTGTGAAGAAATGAATGCTCCACATATTTTCCAGTACCTGTTCCATTTTCCACTATTTTTCCTACTGCAATTACAAATGCGTCAGCTTCATTTAGTTCCAGAGTTTCTGTCTTCACTGTGGAAGTAACACAGCCATCACTATTTGTCTGCAGAGAGAGAGGAGAACAGAGAGAAAGAGCGTGGTGTGGAGGAAGACAATCTGGCCAAGCAATCCTAAAGAAGTATTTCCAAATATTTATGCAACAGAGAAAAGCTTACAAATGGTAACATCAGAAACCCATCATGGATACCTTGGGCAGAAATGAAAATCARTATGTTTGGATTAAACAGTCACCAAAAAAAGTGGCAAAATAAGAGTACTGAAGGCAAATCACATAAGGGTTAATTATGTCACAGACAAACTCAGGAGACTGGATTCAGCCCAAATCCTGTAGCTGAGAGAGCATGAGTTTCATTATGTGAGCTAAAGGTCTCCCTGAAATGCTGTGGCTCTGATGAATAAAGGCTGACAGTGTGGCTTTCCAGACATGACCAGTCCTGTGACATGGCCATATTATACACGGGCATTCTGCCAGGCACAGATGGCAATAGCTTTGCCAAGCATTGGGGCAGAGCCTGGGTACAGCCAGTGTTTCTAGCCACGCCTGTGAAGTGCTCTTCAGAACCTTTCAGGGCCTCTCACATGCCATGTGGAGCTGGCATTCAGCTGGTGTTTTGCACAGCTAAGACTGTACAGCATTCCAGCTGGAGTGCATTTTAAAAGATGCAGAGATCCAGCTAGATTTTTATATTCTGGCTCTTGCAGGCTGATCTGACATTTAGAAATATTTTCCTGTGGCTCTCAGGCCAAAAGAGCTGCATCTGAAATCCGTGGGAAAAAAACAAATGTGAAGCCTAATCACAAATATATAATGGACACAGATGAGAAGGAAGCGCAACCAGAAATGAGCGTAATTTCAGACCAGACACTAGCAAGCTTAAGATGACCCATTGTGCACGGATAAAGCAAGAAACAGGGCACAGATCCACAGCCCATGGGATGCTCTGACAGCCTGCTCATTGCTGCGAGTGGTCACAGGGTCACWGGTCACAGGCCCACCTGATGGGGTGATCTGATTGCATACAGTATGATACAGACCCTTGGAAAGGCACCACTACTTCCCACAGCTTACACCTTCTCCTGAAGCACAGAGTCAGGTATGGGCAGCTAGAGCAGGGTTACAGGAAGAGGAATTGATGGTCTGATCATGTCCAGCAACTGGGAAGACACCAGACTGAACAGTTTGGTGCCCATCTGTGGTACCCTGAGGCAGGGTAAGGGGATAGAAACACATTTCCAGCACATGACACTTTTCACTCTCCTATTTGTTTACCTACCCAGCTCTTGTGCTTCTTCATCGCAGAACTTGTGAAATTGCCTTCCATGGCCTTGGAGATTGTTGTAACAGTAACTTCTGTTTTCCCTTGAACAGGCTTCCCATAGGTATACCTATGTCAAAGGAGAGAAACATTCACCAAAATGTCAGCTGACTGTCAGCAGAAATACTGATCTGGGGTACCTGCCATCCTCAGCAGGGGAAGTGGAGCCTGGAGAGCTTTGCTTTGTGCCTTTTTTACTCAGGAACTTTGGCTCATCCTTTAAAATAATTTTGCATCCCTCTCCACCCACTACACCCAGCATCTTTAGTGTCCTTCAGCCTCACAGTAAGGGGCCAGGAGTGAGAAGAAGCCTGTTTCAGAGAGTGATCTGTCTGCCAAGACACAGGATCACGCAGAAAGATCATACTGACAAGTGGGAGACCACTTCTTGTCTATGAGCAATGTGGAGGTGATGGTGGAGTCAAAGGGCAGAGGTCACAACAGTATCATGTACTCACTTGCCACAGACCTCCAGCTGAAACTCTTCATCCTCTGCAGCGATATATGGAGGGTGATTAATTGTTATCTCAAATTTTTTCAGCACTGTATGGAAGATAAGAATAGAGGAAAAAGCAATGGACAGTATGGATGAGTATGGGCAATGACAGCCAGTTCTGTTATAGCTGCAGTRCAAATGAGGAGAGGACACATCCCCGTGCTGCAATAGGGTCACTCCCTTCAGACACCATCCTGTATTTCCTGCTACAATTGCACATGGGACTGCTTTCTACTGCAGCTCAGTCAGGCTGAAAGACTTAAATAGCACAGGGCTTGGTCTTTCAACACAAATTAAGGGGACCAAAACATGATCCCACTTCCTATTACAGTAGCTGACTGGAGTGGATAGCAAACCRAGCCTAGAAAATGGTGACAGTGAGCAGCGAAAAGGGCTCCTCTTAGGGCCCAGATGCAGRTAGAATGAGATGTCAGCACACAGCCTCTCTTTTGTACCTTACATAGCTGCAGAACCTCCAGCCCCATGTGAGGTGCGCACACAGACCCACCCATCCTTGTCCCCACTCTGTCCTTCCCAAGGCAGAAGGAGTGATGAACATGGCTGCATCCCCCTGCTCTCTCCTCCAGCTATCCACACCGCTCTTCCCTTCCCTCTGATGTTCAAGTCTCACCATATTCCTCAACACTGAAGGTTTTCTCAGCCATGTCTTGCTGCACTGAGATGGTGTATTTCCCAAGGGATGCTTCGGGTGCCAGGGGGAAGGACAGATCCACGATGCCCTGATTTGCCTTCACATTCAGCCACTCAGCAATGCGGTTGTGTTCAGGATCCTGTTTCGGAAAGGACATCCAGGGCCACCAAGTCACGCTGGAAGCACATGTACCTGGCAGGTCCAGCCATACTCAGGCACAAGCAGGCAATACAAGGGCTTACCCTTGGCCCAGTAAAGAGGATTCCAGATCACCAGGAGAGGATCCTTCACTTTCCTCCAGTATTATTTTAGTAAACTTTGGAATTACAAAGGCTGCCAAGTACAGTAAAGCTGCTGGGAAGTGGGGACACCATAACACCATGGGAAGGAGAAGTAGCTGTGCTGCATCTACTGAGTGCTTGTCCCTGTGTTCTGGGCTCTGCACAGGGTGTTGGGCAAAGGTTCACTGCTGCCCTGCCTCTAGCTGAGCTGTGTGCCTCACAGAGGTGCTGGTTTGAATGAAGAACTCGGGCTGACCATTTGGATAATTTTGGATAACCCTTCAGCTGAACTTGAACTATAACCACAATCTTATGAAATTGTGGCACAGCTCTAGGAATGAAAGATCACAGCAGAAGAGACAGACATATCCCTTTGGTCACTTCTTTATCACTTACCTGCAGCCATATCTGGGAATACTGTAAAAACAAGAGAAACACAATCTCAGTTTTGTACAGAGCAAAACAGCATCCACATAAACCAGGATAAAGAACTCTGCCTATCATGGGTCCTATCAGAAAGTTCTGCCCCCTCAAGACCCCACAGTATGTCTCCTCTTCCCTCTGTGCCAGCTTACACTGGTCTTTCTCCAAGGGACCAGTGGATGACCCATTTCCTCTTTGTTCTTATGGTTTAACAGGCATGAAGAGAGATGTTTCTTTCATGAGCCTTTTAATGTATCTCATGCTGAAGCTCCTACTTCTAGAAATGCACAAGCTGATACTCACCTCATTTTTAATGACCTTAAGGTTCTCATCAAGGTTCACAATTCGAAATTTCACTGTAGGTATAAAGAAAAGCATAGTAAAGCATTCTGGCTGTAACATGTCTTTGCACAAACCTGCTTCCCCTTTTCTGTGTTACAGTATTCACGTCGCTTTGTTTACATCAGAGTTACTCAGGTCTTTTCCCAAACAGCCCTTCCCAGCATCTCCCACCCCAGAGGACTTTGGGAGGATTATGTACAGCTCTGGGCTATAGAAACCCACTGCCTTTACCTGTAGTGGGGTCTGTCTGCATTCCATTCATACTGTGAAGGCTGTGGGGACTCTCCATAATTCTACAGCTTGGAACTGTCACTCTAGGCTTTGCTCATATATGAACAACAGCCATCAAGGCTGTCCAATGTCCTGGAGAGTTCTGGTTTTCCTTTTGGTTTTGCTAGAGATATGACACCAAAACAACACCCAGGAGCAACAGGCTGGGAACTGGTGTAGCACACCTTGGAGGGGAACATCCTGCCTCAGACAGTTTCCAGAAACATTGGAAAATAGAGATCTGCTTTCTTCCAGCTCCTACAACCTTAACTTGCTATACTTGGTGAGATCTTCCCTCCAGGTGTGGCTGCTACCTTGATCCTTCCCTCCCCGTTTCCATATGCTGCCTTCTTGCCTTACCTGTTTCTCCAGGTTTGTATAAGCCCTTGTCTGTCTCTATCAGAATTATATTCTTCTGGGGCTTGACCAGAACTTTCTTCTGACCCTCAAGGAGTACGTTGTCTCCACTGTGGATCAAGACATGCAGAAAAACCACCTCCTCTGGCTGTCAKGTTAAAAGAAAACAAATTATCTCAGACTGCAAAGGGCTTGAAAGAGAACCAGAGGCACTTGTCCTTCCAAAATCTCCAATGTCCCACTCCTTCTTTCATCTACTGTTATTTAGGTCTCTCCCTAGTCACAGTCTTCTTTTTGCGGTCCAGCTTCTTCATTCCCTTTTCTCTGCATTACTGCTTGTCATGTTTGCCTCTTTCCACATTTCTTTTTGCTCTTTACAATCTTTCCCACCCTGCATCTCCAACATTAACGTGGTTCAGGCATAGAAGGGGCTGAAGCCCTCTAATTTGCAAGAGGAGAGGCAGACAGGAGACCCATTTTACCTGTGACATGGGATCATCTGTGTTCTTGGGAATTAACATGAGGTCTGGCACCTAGGTTTATTGACACAAAGAAATGGAAAAAAATTCATCAGAGACTTTGTATCTTATCCCAGATATAAGATGTCATCTCACTGTTAAAAAATCCTCAGAGTCCAACTTCYTCTGTGTAACCCACTTGTGATTCTAGGGAGAAGCAGTCACTGCCTTTCTCTTGTTCATGAACTTGAGTGAACTGTGATTCTCCCACTTAAATGTGAAGGTTTTATGGGACCAAGTAAAACCATGGGAAAGTCAGGTCTGCAGTAATGGGAGGTGAGATACTGATCAGGCAAACACAGGACATCTCAGCATCAGAAGGACTGARCTCACCAGGAGAAGGATTTTTGGTGGTTTTTATTTTTTGCCAACAGCAGACTTCCTTGGCTTTCCAGAACCAGGACTTGCTCTCTCCTAAGGGCTGGCACCGAACTCATAGTTAATCATTGTCATGTTGATGTAAAAACCAAAYGTGACTACAACCCCTCCTTGAGTTCTGCTGAGTCTGCAGAACAATTAGGGCATAGGCACAGTGACTGTGCAGTGCTGAGGAAGACAGGGGCAGTTTGTAGAGCCTCAGCACCAGACACATCTCCATGGCTCTCCAAAAATGTGACTGAAGATTCTGTGGTCAGTGTGTCTAGAAAAGCTAACTAGAGCAGTTAGCAATGACAGGAACTCAAGCCACTCCAGAAATATCCTGACTGCCTCAGTGAAATTCAGTTCATTGTTCATGACAGCTACATTAAAGCAAGCTCAGTGTCTATGCAGAGTGCAGCTACWGCTGGTAATGCAGATGCAGCTTTAGAGCAGAATGGTCCTCTTGGAGCTGAAGGGGCAGGCTCCTGAGGAAACAAGAATGAAAAGAATGTATTCCCAATGCATKGGCTTTTGCTGTGATGTACAAGCATATTTAGGGACAAAACACTGATTAATCTGTAAGTAAATGTTTAGCACCAGGCTTTGCATAGGATGAAATGCGCTGATACAGATCAAAAGAGCAGATTTTTTTCTACACAGGAAAGATTCCCTTCTTTSCTAGACTACAGGACACTGTTGCATTTTGCCTGGCACTGGTAGGGAAATGTACTTAACCTGCTTTGAACCTATGGCAAGGAAAAGGAGAGTRTTCCCAGAGAAGTGCTGTGCTCTTGTGTGAAGGAGAAAGCATCTACTGTCGAATCAGTAGCTACATCTGCACTCACCTGGAAGGTGATGCACTGAAAGGTGCCCGGCTTCTCTACATCCTGCTCCACCAGGGTGTGATTCTGGGTTTTTGTCTGCAAGGTGACAGTCAGATGGATGGCCTCAGTTAGGGAGCTGAAGTGAATGTAGAGCTTCTCCTCGTGGGACTGCTGAATGACAGCAGGGAACACCACCATATAGTGACTAGAAGAGAGCAAAACATGTTCAAAAACAATTCAGAGGCTGAGCTGGACAGACCAGAATCCATCTCTGCTGCTTTCATGATGAGGCAGAGCAAGGGTGAGAAATATCTGGGGGACTACAGTAAAGGAAGTTTAGCACAGCTCCTTTCCAAACCAGAAAGGAGGACCACGCCCAGTGTGGAGCTTGAGAACTCCCAATATCTCTGTCACCACCGTGCCACCAGCCAGGACACAGCTGCCCAATGCACAAGGCTCCAGCTGCAAGCACACAGAGCTAAGGCTGTGTGAGGAATGAAGCTGAAGACTCAGTGGCTGAGGCATAAGGCTTCAGCTCTCACACCAGATTTCACCCTCACCAGCACAGAATGAGCAGGGGCCAAACTCCTGTGGCTCCTGTGGCTTTGTTGTGTGAGCAGTGCAGTGGCTGCACTGGGGCTGCCCCTGCAGTGTGCTCCATGTCCAGAGCTCCAACAAGACTCTGCAGGAGCTGCTGCWGCTCAGCCTCCCTGGGAGCCAGGCCCCACCATCCATCTCTGGGATGCCAAAGAGTGCAGCACCTCAGCACCACCCTTCAACAACAGGCCCTTCCACCAAGCCCCCCGAAATCAAAAGGAGAGATTCTCACGGTTCCAGGCTTGCTGCTGCCACTGGGAATAGGGTCAGGGCAAGGAGGAGCAGTGGTGCTCCCATTGCATGGGCCGGGACAGACAGCTGACAAGATCCGACAAGCTGACACTGGAGGAGAGAACTGCAGGTACTGGTGGGTTGGAGCAATCCTAAATACCCCCCTCAAATGCTCCTAGGTTCAAAGAGTAGGGGAGCTCATATATGGAGATAATATCTTTTCCAGGCTAATGACATCAGCTAATATTTACTTGCTCCAACCAACAGCAGTGTAAAGGTCATGCAGCACAGTTCTCCACCCACTTTTATGTTCAGGTGGTATTCCAGGCCATGGGCCAGGACACTGAAAAGGGGTATGTGGGAATACGTACCTCCAACTCAGACTGAAGGGGACTTAGGAGAAAAACTCATCTTATCTCATCTGTGGTTGCTCTGGATCCTGGCTGTAGTATCTGATGAGAGCCAAATCTGCACATAAGCCTCGTCATCAGCTTGTAAAAAGCATCCTCAGCTTTTAAAAAGCAACATTAGTGATCTTCCACTCATCCAGTCATTACTCAAYGCTTGGAATAAAATCCTTTCAAGTCACYTYCATTCCATSCATCACTACCTCWGTCYACCCATCCATCCCAGCCTTGTYTATTACTCCTGGGTAAAGAATCTTTTCCAGGGCAGTTCCTGCTACCTGTGCCAGCTCCCCTCACAGTTCCACTGTAAGGCCTTTCCAAACAAAGCATGACATTGTAAGTCCACACATATTTCAGCAAATCTCTACAAGTGCCCAAGCTGGATGTCCAATCTTCTGACAGATTCCCCCAGCCATAAGGTKATTCTACACCAACACCACCATCCATCTCCTCCAGACTCTTTCTGGAGAAGATGCCCCCTTGTGTTTCCATTTCCTGAGTGGCAGCAGTGCAGATGAATTTGGACCATAGAAGACAGGGTTTGGATGAATTTGCTCTCTAGTTACAACCTACTTGAAGGTGGACATCCTCATTCTGCCCTGGCCCCTGCTGTGTTTTAGCAGATCCCAAACAGAGGTACACAGGACTGAGAGAATTTGCCATCCACCCGTGCCCTGCTCCCAGCTGAAGCAATCCCCTGGATTTACTTTGGCACAGTCCCCACATGTGTGCTTAGCACCCACCTCTTAGAGCACAGTCCGATGGAACAGGGCCACACRAGCCTTTAACCCAGCGCTGACATTGAAGATAAACCTCAGGTTTAAAGCACTGTATGTCACTGATCTGGGAGCATGTTTGATTCTCCAAAATTAAACAGGKATTCAAGTTCAAGCCTAAACTAGCAAGACAAAAAACAGACTACCAAAAGATAATAAAATGCTAAAGTTCTTCCCTTCCTCCAGAAAGGCATCGGGACACTGGAAGAGCTGCATGTGAAGCCCTGGGCTGGTCTATCTGGAGGCCAATTAGATGTAAATTATACCTATGAAGAAGTTCTACAGAAGAAGAAACATGAAGCAAAATCCCCTGACATCACCAAGAATTAATTTGTCTCCTGATGTTTCCGATGATGTCCCAGTAAAGATACTTCTTAAAAAATTTGACCCCTGCATCAAAAGAGAGTAACTAAGTACTCCTGGTGCCGCCAGCTGTGCTGCCTAAGGCAGACAAAACYTCTCCCAGCAAAACACCCACAAGTCTTCCAAAGTTTGAAAGCAGCTGCCTCTGGTTTGTARGCAGTAAACACTGTCCCCACCCCTTTCTCCCGCCCACATCCSAGCCACRCGCAGCTCATTTCCACCTTGGTTTTGAAGCCAAGAGAGGAACAGCACCCAGTCAGGGCAGGAGYTGAGCATTCCTTCAGCTCTGGATGAGGGGGAGAAGGAAGACTGCAAAAGCAGAGGTGAAGGGGGTRCTGAGGAGTGGCTAAGCTTTCCTCGGAGGTACTCGACCTGCAAGCAGCTATGTGGAGCATCGCTTTCCTGTGGGGCAGCATCCATCTCCTGCCTGTGGTGGCTGGAATGCCTGCAATGCTGTAAGAACCTCACTGCTTTGTGTATGTGCTCTGGTCTGGGGGGTGTGGCAGTATGACAGGACAGAAGTCTTACGGTGAGGAGGGTTTTTCCAGAGAGGAATGATTTCTCACGTTGCCAAGGTTTCACTTGGTTTCCATGTGCTCTTTCCCCACATTCCTGCTGCTAGCTGGCTTTTCCTTTAGTGCCTTTGATGTAGACCATGTATTTCAGCAAGGACTCAGGCAGAACAACTCTGCCAGCATTCTTAATGTGCCTAATTCTGACCTGCCAAGATCTCATCTCTCCTGCTGTATTCCAGAATATGTTTCCTTTGGGCTAATCTTTTCTTCCCAGAGTCATAGGGAACCATTTAATAGTTTAGCCAGCAAAGCAGAGTGCCTTTACAAACTGAGCAAATGGTGAGCCCAAGTATCTGATAGGGATGCTCTTGATAAAGCATGTGTTCATTCAGGCTTGGCTCCCACTGTGCTTTTTCCCARACCTGTGTCCCAGACCTCTGCCAGGACAATTCCCAGCACTGCTTCTCTTTATATACTTTATCAGGAATGCAGCTTCTGTTCCAGCAGGCACTGCTCTGATATCCTGGCTTGTGAACTTGTTCTCGCTTTTTYAAAGGTGTTTGCCTTTGCAGCCACAGCACAAGTGCGAACAGAAGCATGACTGTGCTTGAGCAGTAGATGTTACAGTGAAAAATATGTCAGTGGTCTGTAGCTGGGTTCCCTCCTGCTGTGTGTGGTGTGGTGWGCACAAGACTAGTTTTAAAAAAACTTCTCCCGCGGGAGTACTTCCTCCAGGACATGTTCYACAGGCTGACACAGCTCCCACACAAAAGATGTGCTTTACTGCTCTCTGCTTTCCACTGTTACCTTCAGCATGAAGCTTTGCTTTATGGAAATACTGCTTGATCCATTAGGTTGTCAGCTGTCTGCCTGTATTACAATTTTTTCATGGATTAATGATTCAGCTTGGATCTTTGGGCCCTTGGATGAGAGCCTCAGTGATGCTCTTTCCTACTTTTATAGCTCAGAAGGCAAGGGATAAGATGTCAAAGGGGGCTAAGAATATGTTCCAGAGTAAARGATCATGAGGAGCAAGGGAGGTATGAGAGGTTTCAAGCAGTCAGTTTTYAGTGCTCATCCCATCCTTTGGCCCCAGTGGCAGGAGGGAGGTGCAGWGAGTCAGTTCAAGTCGGAAAAACAAAATGTTGTTGGTCTGTGTTGGAGGTTGGCAGCACTCAAGTGTGAAAGCACTCAAAGGCTCCTRGCCAGCAGGACCTTGACTCTGTCTCGCCAGGGTGCTGAGCTCAGGCTAAGAGCTGCCAGCGGGTCACCTCCCTTCCTCCCGCTGTTGTGATCTTTCCAGACCCTGCCCTCCTAYTGCTGCAAAACATGCTGCTGCCTGAGCCTGTCCAGAGGCAGTGAGTAGGAGGAGTCAGTGATAAGGGTTTTGAAACCTGCTTGAATGTTGGTTTTTTGTTGGTCCTAGATGCTGCAGTGCACTCAGAGATGAAAATAAACAAACAGTGTGAGCAGCTTTTCAATGTTATGGGTGCAGCTCTCAGAATAGACAAAGAGATGGGAGCCCAAATAGCAAGAGGACAAGTGTCAGGAGCTGATGCAAAGGTGCTCATGAAGCTCTGTGCCTGGGACATGAAGTTGGGGCACTGGGTCCCTGATACAGGGCATTGTTTCTGAATTTAAGAGTAGCAGGAAAACCAGCCAGTAAAACTGATGGTGATAGATAATGCAGTTCAGTGGAAATACTGAGAACTCAGGAAACCTGCAAGAGAGCAAAGCTGCTGCTGATCCCTTGGGTGATGTGGGGAGGTCCCTTCACCTTATTTTCACTTTCAGTTTGTARAGCAGTGGCTTTATCATTTTACATGTGCATGCAGCATATAGTGCAGCCTCRGTGTTAATGTCTGCAGTACCCACAGGTGGGAACAGTGTGTCCCACTGGTGTTGTGACAGTGAAATGAAGAGACCAGAAGTCTCTTAGGAAGTACCCAAATACAGGTCAAAACCTGTCCTCTTAAAAAGTCRATTTAACCTGACCATTTTCTCTTCCTTTGCAACAGAAACTATGCAGTGGCAATGCCATCTCAGCTCTACTACCCCTTCTCAGAGACTGTGTGTCTTCAGCTCAGCAGAGAGCAAACAGTCCCGATCCATGTGTCAGTCACCTTGCAAAGCAGAGCTGGGAATGAGACTCTGATCACTCAGTCCATCTCTCAGCTCCCCTTCTTCCACTGCACAAGCTTCCAGGTGAGGAAGGTATCTTCAGAGGTTGGCAGTAGGGTGAATAATGCTTGAGTTCTGCTCTTTCTGGGCAGGAATGCAAAGAATTGTGTCTTCCCATGAGAATATCCTAATTGGCCAGTGAATTTTCTGCTTCAGCCTGCATAGGTATAACATTGTCCTTTCTGTTGTGTAGACCTAGTAATATTTTACTCTTCTAGAAAACTTTTTGAAATGTTCTGTGAGGTCTTTCAGGGCAAAAAGTGGAGCARTACAAAAGTAGTATATAAAATAATCATTGTTCCAAAACCCTCAGGGTCAGTGAATGGGATCCATCCTGAATGATGGTTGTAACTATACCTGCAGGTCCCTCCTCCTGTTGGAAACCCCGATGAAGTGGCTTTTGTTGTTATCACAGTCGTGGAAGCMAGCTCAGAGTTTCAGAAGAAACAGAAAGTCCTAATCAAGCATGCAGACAAGAAGACTTTTATCCAGACAGACAAACCTGTGTACAAACCTGGACAGATTGGTATGGACAGAATGCYRTGTCTTGTGAGAGAGAGAGTRGTCCTCAGGYCACAAAATGTGGGGTTCTCCAGTMCTTTGAGCAGGACCTRCTCAGTAAGGGAGATGATGCATACKCTTCATCTTCCTTCTAGGCTRTGAGGMKTTTGGGAATACTTCTATGTCAGCACAGCACACGCCACTGTGAACAGGGCTTGTGTGTTTTCCTTGATGTGTGAGAAAAGATTTAGATGGCCCCGTGTCATATTCATGACAGCCATGACTGTCTGTCTGTCAGGGTCCTAAATTCCTCTATACCCCACAGACTTCCTCAGATGCTGATTGCAGTCCTACAGGTCCCACCACTGCCCCAGCACAGCTCACCACTGGGTACAGCTGTTTGCCCCATGCCTCTCTGCACTTTCCACTAGGATGAGCTTCACTGCAGGCAAGACTGAGTGGCCCACCA